TTAATGCATCTCCAAACTAAATAAAACGGGGACTGTAATAATGACGAAGCTCTAAAAACGTTGTAGTTTATAGCAGAACATCCTTATTGTGTTACCATTATATTTAATTTTTAAGCCGTGCGTTAGGCATCAAACGTGGAAAATAATCAAAAGTCGAAAAACTTTAAACACTGCCGCATATACATAAAAAGACTCTTTGAAACTTTGCGGGATTCTTTGCTCAAGTGTTCATTAGCTGTTCATCAATCGCACTCGAATTGAAAAACCTTGCAATCTATAAAACCATCCCCTTTAAGCAGTCATTGAAATGAAATGCTGCTGATACTTTTTTAAAGACATCAATTTGCCCTGATTTATATCCTGCGCCAGTAATCAGTTTCAAGATTTCGTGAGTATGAGAATTCGTCAATATTTTATGGCTAATAAAAATTCGTGGAGAAGCGATCCAGCATGCAAATGAAGTATAAATAGCATGGCGAAAAAACTAAAGTTTTGCCGGAATTCGTCTTTTTATATCTCAAGTTGGTCGGTTTTCTTCTTGGGCTAAACTATCGGAAGCCGCAAAACAACTCACGAAGCCCGATTCGATTCTGGTTTATGCGTGGAATCTGCATAATCGAATGATGTCGACGAATATTTAAAATAACTACCGTTTCCAACAAATATTTTCATAAATCTGTCATCGGTGATTGCCGTTCCGGAACTGAGTTCGAATAAAGTTGATTTCAAGTTTTAGGGGGGAAATCAGTCAGCGCTCTCATTTTTCTCAACGAGACTTTATAATTCGATAAATTTGATCCAGACGCGATATTTTGCTCTATTTGCTCAATGCGCTGAAAACTGCTAAATCATTTACTGTCTGCAGAAATCAATATGTTTGCATGAAGCACAACAGTGCGGATTTCTGATCTCTTCAATAAACCGTACGGTAAAGAACTTTTCCTAACATGCAATATAAATTACGCGAAACAACACTATTCCGTGGGGGATTGAGGGCATTCAGGGTGGAAATGGCCATGCTAATACAAACCGTTTTGAATATCAACTGGAGTGACCTCAAGTAGATAATTTTTCTTTCCAGTTTTCCTACATTCTGGACCTTAGCCTGGACCTGCTGGAGATGGTGAGTACACTGGTAGCTATTTTAAGCGCTCTTTATATATGTATTATTACAAAATTGTTTTGAGGACAAACTTATTTTAGGACTGAAAATTTGCGCGGGTAGCAAGGTTTGCATAATTGCTCATATTTGAGAGATGAGGTTTTCATTGTGCGGCTTAATGTGAAAAATTGCACAATTTATACGGTTTTTATATGTTCTGGTCATCGGAACATCGAATCAGTTTCGTAGTGGCTCCCCGCTATATGCTCGGGTTGGTCAGTATCCAATATGTGCGAACAAAAATCGCTTTCTGGAAAATATGGAGCCGTAAATATTAGGTTTTGCGCCTGAGGATATTGCTCTATTATATGTGTATTGATGTGGCTATCCGGTAAAAGCAAATCATACTTCAACTTGATCTAAGCGAAGATTTTAACAGAATGCTGCAATAACCGCAATGAAAAAGCTCATTTAGATTGGGCGTTAATGATATTCTTATCTTTCCTGGGTCTCAGTCAAAGTGTGAAGTAAAAATTTGTTGAATTACGTTTCGGGGAGACAACAGCGCCATCATCAGATTTAAAATTTACACAAACTGGTGATTGGTAAAAATCAACGTTCTTTTAGGTCTTTGCCTTCTTGAAACCTTAAATTTGTCTCTCGAAAGACAAATCTAAGGTTTTAAAATATTGAAACATCGTTTATTTCATTACGTTTCGGCGAGACAACAGCGCCATCATCAGATTTAAAATTTACACAAACTCATGATTGGTAAAAATCAACGTTCTTTTAGGTCTTTGCCTTCTTGAAACCTGAAATTTGTCTGTCGAGAGACAAATTTACGGTTTCAAGAAGGCAAAGACCTAAAAGAACGTTGATTTTTACCAATCATGAGTTTGTGTAAATTTTAAATCTGATGAT